CCCCAAAACCCCAAAACCCCAAAACCCCAAAACCCCAAAACCCCAAAACCCCAAAACCCCGTACTCTAAATATTATATTGATTACGTGTTAAATAAAATGGGTAAAAAGAAAAATCAAAAGAATCAAAAAGGAAAAGATCTACCTCTGGACGAGAAAAAGGAACCGCAAAAGGATGACAGCGAGCATGCTAAAGCAAATAGAATGCAGTCTTTCTACGTCAGAACAGTGACTACTATTCTAATGCTTGTAGGATTTCTGGTAATCCTGGGACTTGGACATCTCTATAGTATGATGCTAGTTCTAATGCTAATGCTACTTTGTTTTAAAGAACTGAAAGCCTTGAAAAGAAAGAAAGAATTAGACAAAAACATCCCTTATTTCAATGTGATCAACTGGTATTTCTTTTTGACTGTTGTTTTCTTTGTTCTGCCATTATATCTTCCAAATCAGACGAAAGTTGGGATAACAGATCCCACTCTTCTTGAGATATTCAATTATCATAAACTGATCAGCTTCCTTGCATTCATTTTTGGGATTTTGCTATTTACTTGGAGTCTAGAGAAGGATACCTATAAATATCAATTCAAGATGCTAGGTTGGAGTCTCCTTATCCTTCTAATTGTAGTCTCTCAAGCTTGATCATTGGTATATAATATGTATAAAGGGTTGTTTTGGTTCATTTTTCCAGCACTTTGTGTTGTCTCGAATGATATCTTTGCATACATTTTTGGATTTTTCATGGGGAAGACCCCACTTATCAAGTTGTCACCAAAGAAAACATGGGAAGGGTTTATTGGAGGAGCTATCTGAACATTCATTTGGGCATTTATCGCATCTTTGTATTTGACAGAATTTGAATCTTTGGCTTGCCCACAGACAAGAATTACGTATGAACCATCAGCTTTTCCGTCATGTAATATTGGAACTGTATATATCCCAAAGAGGTTCGATTTACCAGTTCCAATACTAGGATTTGATCACTTTATGATAGCTCCAGTTCAGTGGCACGCAGCAGTGATTGCTCTTTTCTCTAGCCTTATTGCTCCGTTCGGAGGATTCTTTGCATCTGGGTTGAAAAGGGCTTTTAACATCAAAGATTTTGGTACAACTATTCCTGGTCATGGAGGAATCACAGATAGATTCGACTGCCAAATCATGATGAGCATGTTTACATTTGTCTACCTCCATCAAGTAGTGTTTAGACTCAACCCAACAGTTGATGGAATCATGAATTCTATCTATAAGCTAAGCCCTGGAGAGCAAACTCAGATATTGAATGAGTTATCTTTATCCTTGACTGGAATTTTGGCATAGTAGGAAAAATTAGACAAAAATATTCAATAAGACTGAGTAGTTAAGGGGTTTTGGGGTTTTGGGGTTTTGGGGTTTTGGGG